TATGATGGCATGTGTAGCAGCTAATGTTGTTGGAATGAAACGAACAGGTATGACTACAGTTTTAGGTATGTTGAATATTTTACCACCAGTTAAAATTAAAAACTGGAAAAAAATATCAGAAACTATACTCAAATGCTTTGGATGTTGTGAAAGATGATAGTCTTGACAGAGCAGGTAAAATTCACTTTTTTTTATTTGTTTATCATATAATATTTTCGTATAATTATATTTGTAGCTGATGAAGCAGCAGAACAATCATCTGAACCTTTTGATCGTGTAGGAGTTACAAATATAAAAGTTTCAGTTGATGGAACATGGCTAACTCGTCGTGGTCATTCTAGTTTACAAGGAATAGCAACTGTTTGCTCAACATCAGATCCTCCAAAAGTATTAGACTTTGAATGTCTAAGTCGACACTGTACCACGTGCTCTGGCTTATTAGAAATTAGAGAACACAATCCTGAAATGTATGAACAACTTCTAGAAGAACATATACAGAGTGGTTGTGAAGCAAATCATAGAGGTTCATCAGGTGGAATGGAGGCTGCAGGTATGAAGAAGTTACGCTGAAAGATTGTTACTACTATTTGGAATCTTTTAGGGATTGTGGAAGTTTTTCGTCGATCAGAAGTTAAACATCTTTTACGATACACAACATACATCGGCGACGGTACTGCTAATAATGAACGTGCACTTCGTGATGCTCAACCATATCAAGATATTACTATTAAACGTCTTCAATGTATTAATCATTTTTCGAAACGGTAATATAGTTATTATTATGATAATACATCTATTTTTTTAATATAGAATGCGCACTGCTCTAGAAACACTCAAGAAAAAATATAAAGGTGATACATTAGAAGACCATAAACCAATTGGAGGTCGAAGTGGACGTTTAACTGATGATAAAATTCATCAATTAACTGTTTATTATGGTTCTGCTATTAGGTCTCATGTGAATGATTTAGAATCAATGAAAGCTGCTTGTTGGGGTATGTTTTGTTCATACTGATATCTCTCATAAATATTTTATATTTTAGCTACATTCCACCATTACAATTCTACACGCGAAAATCCTAATCATGATTACTGTGACCCTACAAAGTGTCATATATACAGATACAAATCATTTGATACTAGCAAACATACTATGGCACCTGCAGTAATGAAGGCCATTCGACCTGTTTATGAAAAGATGTGCTCTGATAATACATTATCTAAAGTGGTTGATGGAGGGACAACCAATCCAAATGAATCTTATCACAGTTGTATTTGGTCCTTGTGTCCTAAAACACAATTTCACTCCGCAAAATATGTTCAAGCTGCAGCATCTTTAGCAGCTCTAATTTACAACGATGGTTATCAATTATCAATTATGGAACTGCTTGAAAAATGTGGCATTAAAAGTAAAACTCCTGCATGAGTTAGGATGACCAAGTTACTTGATAATCAACGGATAAAAGAAAATAAAGTCAAAAACAAATCCACGAAACAAAAAGCACGACAGCAACGAATACTAACTGAACAAAGTCTCAATAGAAAAGAAAAATATAACTATGCACGAGGAGGATTTGACTAATTGTGTTAAAAAATTTTTTAAATAAATAAATAAACATACCTTGAACGAATTGTTTTTTGTTGTTTGCTATTGGATGCCATGAATGAAAGCTTGTTGATTTTGTTTCTTCTTATAGGGAGAGAAAGTTTATATAGAACTAAAGGATATCTGATAGAACTTACTAAAGAAAAACTTGAGACTGAACGGTAATATGACTGAAAAATTAAAAGGTATAAATGATAAAAGCAGAGGGCGCAAAACTTTCGATGTCTTTACACATTCAGTTTTACCGACACTTGACTGCTTGAAATAAGCAGACAACAAGTTCTTAATAATTAGTAAAAGATTAATTAATTAATTAAACTATATTTCAGAAAGATGTTTTATCGATTATTATTTGTAAATATATTTCATTCGAATTTATCAATCTTTTTCATAATTAATTAATTAATGAATAATAATTAGTTACATCTACCAGTAGATTTAGGTTCTACGTTCTGATCTGAACTATTTCAATTTTCTAGAAAAAGCGTTAATTAAGCATAATCATTTAATTAATTACTTAATTAATTAAATCTGATATGATATTCAGGTTCTCCGTTCAAATTTGAGTATTTTGAATTTTTGTAAAAAAACATTAATTAAGCATAATTAATTAATTAATTAATCAAATCGGAGATCAGATTCGGATTCTCCATCTTCAAATACCCCTTTTCCAATCTTAAAAAAAAACTACATTAATTAACGGCTAATTAGTACCTAATTAATTAATTAATTAATTAAAACCGACTTCAGATTTGGACTCCCCATGCTAAATTACCGTTTTTACCACAAAATTAGAAAAAAAAGTAGCGTATTAGTGAAAATAAGTGAAAAATAGTAAAATTTTCTAAAACTTTTTTGTATTTTGCATTTTTCTCGAACCTAGTTTTTCGGGTACCAAAAACCAGTTTTCCCCCTTTTTCTCGGTCATTTTAAGTCCGATCGGGTTGAAAATTTTTTTGGTGATACTTCAACTAATATGGGGGGTATATTTTTTTTTTTTGTTGATATCTCTTACCAATAAAATTTGGGAGGATTTGCAAAATTGGTAAGGTCTCAAAATGCTACAGATTTTTCGAGGTCTTCAGTATTTTGGCTCCCCTGCCTAAAGTTTTAGGAATTTTTCAAAAAAAAAAAAAGCACCAACCCGATTCAGGTTGGCTACGCCCAGTAAAAATTGCAGCTCAAAATATTGAAATCTGTGGATTTGCCGGGGGGAAAACTTTAGGCGATTTTTCGACCTTGGGGTCTCCAAAAGTCCATGAAGGGGGGTCTGACAAATTTGTGTCCGCTACAACTTTTGCTCTACTAGTCGAGATCTATCCACCCTGAAAGTTTCAGGAATTTTCGCCTTGCCGTTTTCCAGAAACCCTGGAAATGGGGGGGGGGTCCCCTTAAACATAGAATAAATTTATCTACATTGATTTGTTTGCTAAAATAG